TGCTTGGCATGAAGACTGCTGGTCTGTAAGTCCCCAATGCCTCCAGCTGCCCACACCCTCACTCTCCCCGGTCTCTCTACCTTGGCTTACCTTGACATTGGGCATGTATTTAGAGAAGCGCTCATACTCCTTGCTGATCTGAAAAGCCAGCTCCCGAGTGTGACACATCACCAGCACAGACACCTTGAGGGTAAGCAGATGGAAAGACAGTAAATCCCTTCACTATCCCACTGGGGAAGTGACTGTCACAAAAGCATACCTGGCAGATCATAAATGATTCCAACTCTGAGATCTAAATCATTAACCCCATGATTATTACAAAATATTCCCCAGGGCCTCAAGGGGGACAGAGATCATCTTAGCAACAAGCACTCACAGTTCTGAATGCACCATGTAGCTGAGCTAAAAACACCCTGCCCAAACATTCCTAACAAAATGCCCTCCCCAGTACTCTCCCCAACTGTACCTGCCCAGTAACTGGCTCCAGCTGTTGCAGTGTGGCCAGCACAAACACTGCCGTCTTTCCCATGCCTGACTTGGCCTGGCATAAGACATCCATTCCCAGAATGGCCTGAGGGATGCACTCATGCTGAACTAAATGTAGAAGAAAAAATAAATTAGGCTTCAGTCTCCAGATAACCTTTTCCACCACCCAAACCCATTTCTTGCCAGTGAATTCTTAAATGGTTCTTGTCAATTCCCAGATACTTTCTATCTCCAGGCTCCTTTAATCAATCAAACTCATCTTCAAATCAGACCCTCCTGGTTCCTTCTAGCTTAAGCTTCCTCTAGTTCTGACCAACCCCCTACAACCACCATCCCCTCCTAACAAGCCAACTGCAACTTACCAACCGCTCACCTTAGGTGCTTCTCTCTGTCCTTATTTTCCTTAATCTTAAACAATCCATGACATTTGAGTGCCTGCCACAGGCCATTTCTCCTACTTAGACTGCCATGCTTTAGGTCATACAACCCTACAACCTTGGACTAAATGAAGGACTTGGTATCTGACCCAGAAGGCAGCCACCTTTAGAACAACCATAAAGGTTTCCAGAAATCAGAGTGAGCCTGGCCCAAGAGAGGAGAACTAAAGGTGCCACGAGCTCCTCTCTGGAATTTAAAATTACAAGTCAAAGTGACAAAATTAGAAACTAGCAGACAAGGAAAATAGCCAGTCACAAAAACGAACAGCAGGCCTCTAAGTTGCTTTTGGATCACCAGCACTTTCATGCTACCACAAATAAAAGACCAGCCAATATAAACCTCTTCTGCCGCTAAAATAGTTTCTGGTACTTCCGGTACTTCCTTATTTCCTGGTCTATCCTAAATATGTCTGTATCACTGAAGGACCAGGAACACATCTGTTTTAGGATCATCAAAGTGTCTAATGAGTACTCTATGCCCAAGAGAAAATTTACCTTCTGAGGGATGCTCGAAGCCACAGTCGACAATGGCCCGCAGCAACTCTGGCTTGAGCAGAAAGTCTCGAAAGCCAGAGCTATGGATGGAGACGTAGGAGCCCTTAACGTCCTTCTTGGCAGGGGCCTCAGCACCGTCTCCCCCAGCTGCGGTCTCCACCTCATCGTCTTCATAGTCCAAGAGCTCATTGTCCACATCGTTCTCTGCCATAACTGGGCCGGCAGGGGGAGAAGGGGAGGGGTCTCTGAATGGTTCACGCAGAGTAAGTGAAAACAGGGGAGGAGGAAAGCGGGGGCTTAGGGAATAGAAGACGAGACACACTAGTTTCTGACAGAAGAGCTAGGGGGGAAAACAAAAACAGAAAAAAACATCAGTCATGAGCAGAGCCTTCGCCATCTCTCTTCCATCCCCACATCCTTCCCACTTTCCCTAAACTATGAAACCTTTACCTGGACATAAAAGGAAGGAAGAAACACAAAACACAAAAGAGTAATACGGGGAATGGGAAAAGTAGTTCCAGGGGCGGGGGTCAGGTCCCAGGCTCCCAACAAGGTTAGGATCAGAGGGGCGAAGGCTTATGAACTCCTCGCCTGTAAGGGACAGTGAGGAAAACGAACAGGTAACGAAAAGCAGAATATGAGCGCGGGAGGGGAGAATGGAGGCGATGGGGCAAACCCTGAAAAATCCTCAAGGAAGACCCTGCGCTGTCCCTGACTCTCGAACTGTCAACCCCAGCGTGGCAGCCATCAGTCAAGGGTGATAGATGAAGGTCATCACTGCGCAGAGCGCTCACTCCTCAAAATGAAAACATCATGTGGCTGCATTCACCTCCCACAGCTCACCAGCCTCCCGCTCCTCAGGAACGTCCACCTGCGACTTAAAAATCCCGGTGTAATTAACCAACGACGCGGGGCGGGCGGTAAGGGAGAAAGTCCTCTCGCCACCGCGCAGCGACTAAGAAGGTGGCAGCTGGGAGGGCGACGCGCGGCCTGAAGGGAGCCTGCACCGAGCGGCCTCCGCCGCCGCCTTACTCCGCACTGAGGCTCCCTCCCGAAAAACACCAAGGGCATCCCCCTAAAGCACCTGCAAAGCGCTCCAAGTAAAGGGGGGCACATCGAGGTGAGAAGCCCGCCTAGGCCCAGAAGGGGCTCCTCCCCCTGGTCCCACCGCGGGCCCAGAGGACCCAGAAATGAGAGGGAGGGGAAAAGAGCCCCGCCCTCTGCAAAATGCCGGGGACCATCAGATGCCTAGCGCCGCCTCTCACCGTCGCTGGGGCCTCCAGTAAACGACAGGCCCGCGGAGGAGCGGCGATCTAAGGCAACACAATGGCGCCGAGGCCACCATCTTGGATTGAGCCTTTCTAGCTTCCCTACCTCCCCCCAGGAGCTCTTTGCTCTTAAAAAGGGATGCCAGTGATGGAAATAACGACCCAAGTAGGCCCCAGAGACCAGGCCATAGCCTGTGGAAGGGGTATCAGGAGTCCATGCAATAGGATGGCTGCAGAGAAACGCAGATGAAAATGGATGGTAAAGAAGGCCAAACCTTACCTGAGCAAGGCGAACGCGTATGGCGGCACCAACAGCGACGAAGGAGGCAATCTGCCTTCACTTCCGGTTCCCAGTTTCCCCCTCGCCCGGCCTCCCGCCTTCTCCGCTGCCAGAGTGCAGGCGCGGGGGACGGAAAGAAGGACCTTCCACAGTTCTGTAGTTCCGAGAGCTCCGGGGTTGCCTTTAGAAACTGCCTGTCTGAAATTTTTTTTAAAGCCACTTCTAACGCCTTCGCTACTGCTAGTAACGAAAGACATTAAAGGAAACTAGCATCCCCTCCCACTGATACCTTCTTTCTCTTGTCCCACTTTTCTTCATGCCCCTCACCTCCTCGTTTAGGTCGTTGCCACGCAGGCTTTCTCTCTGGGCACCCCCCCCGTGGCGAGGGACGCTGCTGGCGAGGCTGCGGTTCCCACGGGGTCCTTGGGGCGGTAGTCAAGGTGACCCGGGGGCGTCCGCGCTGGAGCTGGGGAACGTCAGCCCCCAGCTCAGCTGAAGCAGTGATCAGTGCTCGGGTGTCCTGTTCTTGTCGTTTTCGCAGCCTTGGGGACCATGGACTGGCATTTGCCCAAAAGTAGTGTTGGCCCATGACCCAAGGGCCCTAAGCTGGCGGGCACGGGCTGCGAGTCAAGGCGACCTGAACTCACTGAGTGGGAGAGGGGGGTCTAGATTGGCCCAAGTGTTAAAAATAAATGATAGGGCTTAAGGGTTATGCAACATTCCATAAGTATTGTTAACGCGACCAGAATGTTCTTAGCCCCGCCCTCAATAGCCCCATTGTTCTGCCTGGATTTTTTCCTGAATGGAGCATTTGAAACTCTCGTCTTTGATATGCTATAGAAGTCAGACGTGATGTCTGCTGCTTGACAAGAATGACAACAAACGTTTGGCCCTTTAATTGTTATTACACAATCATTTAACACGAAGGAGTAGGGACCATTATTCCCATTCTATTAACAAGCCCAGACTTAGAGAATAAAGCAACACGTAGGAAGTAATACAGCTAATAAGGTGACAGAGCCAGGGTGTAAACACCTCTTATTCTCTACTGTCTCCTGCCTCCCTGCTTCAAGAGTGTGGTTAATAAAATGCACTACTGATTACCTCATTGGTTCAAGTCCTTCAGGAAGCAGGCTTGTTTTCTGTGGCCAAGAGAAATACAGTAAGTGATCCAACGATGGTGTCATAGAAGAGCAGTTTTTCCAACCTTAAATATCAATTTATTAAACAGTATTTATCCGGTCTACCCCGTCCCAAGTGCTATCCTAGGATCTGGGGACACAGAAGTGAACAGCCCTGCCATCACAGAGTTCACATAACAGGGGAGACCACACAAAAATATGTCAAGTAGTAGTAAGTGCTATGAAGAAAAATAAAGCAAGGTGATAGTGTAGAAAATAAAATGGAATAAGCACTGCTAAGAGAGTCACCTAAAACAGAGTTGGAGGCCACCAAAGAAGCTGCAGTTCTCAGAGCTGCTATGAAGTTGCTAACCTGTTGCTAAACTCAGTTCAAGGCTGAGTCATAAATATCTTGGAACTGCTTCAGGGACACATGGACTTGACCTTCTCCTCCTCGTTTTCACCTCCCTTATTTGCATATTGGAACCAATCAATCCCAAACCAGTAATCCTTCATTTGCATGAAAGAACTGCACTTTGTGGTTTTTGCTTTTATAAACCCTGCCTTTCTTTGTTCTCTCAGAGAGCAGTTTGAGTAGTTACCTGAATCTGCATCTATGGGAGTGTTAGTGCTGTCCTTTTGCTCAAATAAATACATTTCGTTCTTATTATAGCCCGAGCCTCTTTGGTTAACAAAGGGGCAATGTGCTTGTTCCTACACTCCAGCTTTTCTCTACAGTTGCCATCTATAGTACTCAAGTTCCCAAACCGGGAATCACTTTAGAGAAATAACAACATATTGTTTGCTATGTTTCTCCAACAAGTTTCAAAGGACAGCTCTTTGGGGTGTTTGGGGACTACAGAAACAAGACACAAGAGAGTGGCTGAAAATGAGAAATGATGAAACAAAAGGATTTGCCCATAATCATTTTATTGACAGCAGTTTTTATTGTTACAAAGGAAGTCCATGCATACACGGTGACGCAGCATCACTTCAGATCTCAGGAAGCAGTGAACATCTGATGGGTCTTTGGGGTAATAAGAAAAGAGAGAAATCTAATAAAGAGAAAGACCAACATAAAACAGACAAAAGAGAGGCTAAGAAATGCACCTTTCTGGAACTGCAGCAAAGGAGCTAAATGAAATCATCATTTTACCTTTTCAGGGATCATAAGGTCTCTGGGAAAAGAGAGGTGGGAAGAACCAGTCCTTCAAAGAATTACCAGAGTCACAGAATGAATGAGTAGAATTAGACCACAGACAGAAGTGAGGAAACAGCTGTGTTTAGGTTTTGGCAGTTGGACATGGGGTGGTAATAATATCACAGGGTTACCATTAATTAAATCATAGCTACCACATGCCAGAAACCATGCTAGGCTCTTTTCAGAATGATTCCTAATCACTGCAGCAACCCTGAAAGGTAGGCATTGTTGTTCCAGTGTCGCAAAGGAGGACACTGAGGCTACAGGTTAAGCAGCTTGTCCTGGTTGCACAGCCAACAAATAGCAGTGTGAGGAGAGGGAATCAAGTCTGCTGGGCTCTGGGGCCAGGATGTTTTCTACATCCGTGCTTCTCCATGCTACAAATTTCACAGAGGGGTTGGGTGAGGGTGACCTGGGAGTTTACAAGGTCCCAGTGAGGGTCAAAGAACAATAAGGAGATTCAGGCCTGAGCCTGATGCCTATATTTCACAGGAGAATTATTGGGGCTTGCCTCCTAGAATTTCTCGGCAATGGAAAGGAGAGAGGGATTAGGGTGGGAGGTGATTCTGATTTGGGGATTTCTTTTGAGCAGGAGTCAGGCCCTAGGGTTTGTCCTAGGCAGCAATCCGGTAGTTGGGGTGGACCTGGGGCCTGACATCACAGACCATGCCAAGAAGCTGGGCCAGGACACGTTCGCGATTTTTCTGCTGAGAGCTCTGCATGCCCTGCACCTGGCGCTTTGTAGCCTGCTCCACTTCTGCGGACAGGTTCCCCTGGGAGCCCATGGCCTGGGGGTGAGGAAGGGGTAGAAAAGAGAAAGGAAGAAACACAGAAAGAGAGTCCAGGCATGTGGAGGGAAAGATCCTGGAGCAAGGCCAGGGAGAAAGACCCTGTCCAAAACCAACCATCCCACGGAAATATTCAGATACCAAGGAGAGCAACACAATCCCTTTTCCTCCAAGACCTGACATGCAACTGCATCCTAAAACAGACTGTACGATCCCCACCCTCTCCACCCACGACAACAGAACTCTGCTCTCCACCCCAAATGTCATCACTCCACACAGACTGTGGTAGTCCCCCCACAAGCTGTTCAAGTCCTTCAAAACGCCCAGACTCTCTTAAATATCAACAAAGTTTGACCAATGTCGTGGTCCCCACCAGGATCCCCTTCTGTCCTTCACCATCTTATTTTCTTGTAGAATCACCCTGTACACACCTCACCAGATGCACCCACCAACTTGCACTCCAGGGTGCCATCCCCCACTCTCCCCAGACTCACTGCCTGCTGTTTGCTCTGGAATTCCAGCTCTCGCTCTCGGCGGTACTGTTCCACTTCCATCTGGGCCTCCTCCTTTGCCTGTTTCAGACGCCGGGCCTTCCCTGGAAGCAAAAGAAAGGACAGGGAATGGGGGTGAACTCTCCACAAAATGGGATAGTAGGGGTCAGTCCTTTCCAGAAAGTTATTCTGCCTTCTCTCAGCCAACCAGGTGCTAGATTCTAATACCCATGTCTTACCTTCTAATCAGCCACCCTAGCCCTCAGCTCTCTCCCCACCCGGCTTGGGTTTTCCTAAGGACTCAAATGTTTGCTGTCCACACACCCTCAATTTTCTTTCCAGACTCCTAAGGGAGGGAGGAGGAGACTCACTCTTTCTGGCATCTGCCACCTTTTCAGCCGCTCGTTTCTCCGCTTGCAGGAGCTGCTGGATACCCTGGGATTGACTGGCCATTTCTGTCGTTATGGCAGATTCTGTTTCGGATGCTACCAAGGTACCAAATGGCTCCCAGCCCCCCACCCAACTGCCTGCTCCTCCTCCTCTTCCAGCTCGTTGCTGCAGTCCTCCAGTACCCCTGGGTCTTAGTGCTCCCCTTTTCCCTTAGCCGTCTGCACGGGGTGTCTCCCCCAAACTGATCCTCCCAATGGTGGCTGGTCCTCCTCTCCCACCCCCGCTCTGGCAGTACCGAGGAGGACCTCTCGGGGGCAGCAGAGACCAGGCCCAAAGCTGCCCGCTGACGTCACGGCGGACTCCAGGCTTTCCCAGTCCAAAGATCTGGGAATGGGGCTGGGGCTGAGGCGGGAGCAGGCGTGGAGGGGTCGAACCCGGGGTGAGAAGGTAAGGAAGTCACCGTGCGTGGGGCGCTGGGAAAAGTACGCTGGATTTCTCTTAATTCTTCCAACATCTCCTCCCCTCTTTTTTCTCCCCCCGCCCGTTTCCATCTTTTCTACATCTTTCCCAAGTACGAATTTCTGCATCCATCTCACTTGCCTTGTCCTACGAGTGTTTCTTTTTGTCTTTTCATGCCTATGTTTTACTCTTTTTGATCTGTCCCCGTTCTAGGCCTCAGTGTGGTTTTCTTTTTCATTTTCACTGTGATTTTTATTTCGTCCTTAGCTCTCCCGTTTCCTCGCTATCTCTTCTCATCTTTTCGTTTGCTACCGAACCTCGCCTCTGCGCGCAGTTGGGGAGGCGGGGGGAGCCGCCAAATCGCCTTTTCCTTGTCCTCGCCCGGCCTCCTCCCTCCCGGTTCCAGGCAGGCCCTTTATCTTAAGTTCCCTAGTTTCCCGCCGAGGCCTGACTGCGGAAACACACTTCCCCCGCCCCCACCTCCGCGTGTCCTGAGGGAGGAGCGACATCCGGTAACGCGCCCGCCGTGGTCGTTTCCGCCCCTTACCTGAGGCCCCGCCCCGCC